TTATTCAATACCACAGCATCATTTGGTTTAATTTCCAATGACATATTTAAGTCAGCAAGTGATCCCAAAGTCATGTACCCACGTGAATAGCATCTTAGGTTGGGATTGGTCAAATTACGTAAACAATGCCACTTAAATCCCTCATAGAAGTCTTGAAAAAATGTATTGTATTCTAAGCAGAATAATAAATATGTGATTTTATAAAATTCAACCTGCTTTTATAACTTTTTACATTATATCGATATAATTAAACTATTTTTTTCTCTTAGCTATTTTTGGGTTCAACAAAAACAGTTTCGTGATATAAACCAATCAGATGATCAATTTATTCCTTATGTTTGGTCATTAACATTAACGTTAAGTATACAAGATGGATTGTCCAAACAATGCAGCAGTGACCATTCCTTTGCAAAACTTCATTTCAATCGCTTTTCACCGGACACATTCTGCTTGTTGAATACAGTAGATTTTTAGATTTGCCAAATAAGTATTCAATCTTTTACCGTAAATATTTACAACAACCTGTAGATATTTAACTACCTTAATGGTAGTAACCAATTAACCAACCCGAAAAAATAACATGAATGTACGTTAATTTTCATTGACCAGTGTTTCTCTCGAGTAGACCATCCATTCTGTTTCACCAAATTTTTGGTATCCCCACATGGCATTTAACTATTTGATGTGTGATGTGACATTAAAAAAATGAAACGTTTCATAATTAAATCTTTAATTACTAAATTACTAATAATGCTAATTAATTACACATGGATTTTTATATAAATAAATACGTTATTAAAACATTTAAAATTTTTTAGACATTAATATTAATTTTAATGATAAAGTTAAATTTACATGTTATATTTAAATACATTAATCCCTATAAATTATATTAACAAAAAAAAATGACAAAACGTTATGAAGTATTAATGCATTTAAATAGTTTATTAAAACTTGATCCAAATGATGCTTCAGCATTAAATGACCGTGGACTAATTCATCAAAATATGGGGAATTATAAAGAAGCACTTGCAGATTTTAATAAATCATTGGAAATTAGACCAAACGATGCTAAAACGTTAAATAATCGGGGATTGACGTTTCAAAGAATGTATAGATTTCAAGAATCACTTACGGACCTAGATAAATCTATAGAAATTAATTCATATGATCCAGAAACTTTATATAATCGAGGATTAACCTATCAAAGGTTAGGTAGATATAATGAATCACTTATAGACTTAAATAAATCTTTAAAAATTTATCCGAATAATGCTGATGCATTAAGTTGTCGGGGATTAACCTATATTGAAATTGGTGGATACGAAGAAGCCCTCGCTGATTTAAATAAGTCATTAGAAATTAGACCAAATGATGCTGGAACTTTATGTTTACGTGGATCAAATTATCAAAAGATGAAAAGATACGAAGAATCTCTTACGGATTTAAACAAATCATTAGAAATCGAACCATTTTATGCTATGACATGGTATATTCGTGGAATAACCTATGGAAAGATGGGAAGAATTCAGGAATCACTTGCTGACTTAAATATGTCATTGGAAATTAAACCAAATGATGCTGTGGTATTGAATAATCGTGGTTTAACTTATCAAAATATTGGCAGATATGAAGAATCACTGGCTGATTTAACCCTGTCTTTAAAAATTAGACCAAATGATGCCATAGTATTGAATAATCGTGGCTTAACATATCAGCATATGATGAAATATGAAGAATCACTTGCAGATTTAACCAAGTCATTAAAAATTGAACCATTTCATGCTATGGCATGGAATAATCGTGGATTAACGTATCAACATATGGGAAGATTTCAAGAGTCGCTTTCCGATTTAAATATGTCATTAGAAATTAATCCAAATAATGCTATAGCATTGAATAATCGTGGATTAACGTATCAATATATGGGTAGATATGAAGAATCACTTGCTGATTTAAATAAATCACTAGAAATCTGTCCAAATGGAACTATAGCATTGAATTATCGTGTATTAACATATCAACATTTGGGAAAATATAAAGAATCATTTGAAGATTTAGACAAATCATTAGAATTATGCTTAACAGCTGAATTCCGAAAATCTATAAACACCAGTACTGATTAATATATACAGTATATTTGATAAGTCGAATAATCAGGCGGGTATTTTGTAAACATCAGCAGATAAAACTACCACATATTATTATTAAATTCATGATTATTACTTAAATTGCACATAGTATTCTATACACTATCATAAAAAAAAATCATATTATGGTGGGTAAAACTAAATGTTAAAATAAATAGGATATAATTCGCATCAAAATTTAGCGAGAAATTTTATTTTTGTTAGATAGTTTAATAATTTAAATTTTGAGATATTAACATATATTTATATGCATTTATACATTTAGTATTAATAAAAAATTGTCTATATTTGATTTATTTATGATTTAAATCTTGTAATATAAATAAATGATATATAATTAAATTTATTCAGGGTTAAGTCGGGTAAATAATAAATAATAGCTTGAAAGTTTAAAATTGATTTACTCATACTAAGAACGGTTTCATAAAGTGAAACGAAGTGTATGGTTTACAGCCATTTTCCAGTATTTGATCGGGCAGTGTACTCTTAACTTTTCCTTTTCTGTTTTACGAACGTTTTCGGAATTACCCTGTGAACTGCATATCGTTTGTAACAAATAATTTTTCCCGTGTCTCTCACTTCCATATTTGTATAATTCATTAAGCCTTTACGTATTCACCAATAATTGTATCGCCATAGCCATGTTAAACTTAAGTACCTTTATACAGTAATATTAGGCGTTATTATGTATGTACAGTACGTACGTACATACGTGCGTACGTATCCTTAGTGGCTTAACACATGTGAATCCCCTGGTCGTATAGACGTGCAAATAATCGCAAAGACATTACTACCGGAACGTAGACTATGAGAAATTAGAATGTATATAAGTGGATGCTCTCGTCTTAGTCTACCATCTAACGTATACTCTCCAAAGTCGTCCCTAAATAAAGAATACATAAATATACATTCTTTTCTATAATAAATGCCTAATAACTATGAAATACGAGTTCACTATTTTTTATCAGATGTCCGCATCTTCTCTTATGTCAACCA